CCCACCCTCCCAGACATATTACCATTAATTCCTCACTCCCAAGCTCCAAGGGCCCTTCCTTTACCTCTATAACTTGTTTCCTAAGCCCGTTTCTTCTACGAATTACTACTTCTGCCTCTGTGATTTTTCAAATAAATGTTCTCTTACAGTTTGAGTCTGGCTCTGAATTCTTTCCTAGCCAGAACTGAAGTACCAGCGTTGTTGAACTCAGGTCCAGTCTGACCCCATGGGTCTAATACCTGATTCCATTCCTGCCACCTGCAACAGTTCCATTATAATCTTGTAGGTCTGTCTTTGTATATGTAGCCTGTCTCAACTGAAATGTTATGCGGCACATGACTATAGGTAATTTGGTCTTCCAAATCTTTAGTATCAGAAAGATGTCCACTCTGCAAGAAGTATCCTTCCATCCCTAGGAAGGTATGCCTCCACTGCAAATTTATAAATTGACCCCCTGATATCAGCTTAATTCTCTTTGTTGGCTAGATCAGTTTGCATTGTTACCATAATTCTAACTCTTTGTTACATGAATGAAGTCTGCTTAGGGGCTTTGAATTTAGTATTATTACCAGAAAGGGGACCTGGCCCTAAATGGGTCTGTCTAGGGCTGGCTGGTAGTGTGCGGGTTCTTTTTTTTTAAATATAAGTTGATTTCAGAGGGAGGGAGAGGGAGAGAGAGAGATAGAAACATCAGTGATAAGAGAGTTGTCATTGATCAGCTGCCTCCTGCACACCCCCAGCTGGGGATCGAGCCCACAACCCTGGCATGTGCCCTGACTGGGAATTGAACCACAATCTCCTGGATCCTAGGTCGATGCTCAACCGCTGAGCAACGCCTGGCCGGGCAGTGTGTGGGTTCTTGACTTTGTGCAGGAAAGATTTCCCAGTACAAGTCCAGGTGATTCTTAGAGGATGTTTATTAAAGCTGGGGACAGTGAAACAAGGAAGGGCCTAGGATAGAAGGAGAGGGACTAGGTAGGGAAATAATCCTGGGCTGGGCTGCTTTGGCTCACTAAGAAGTCAGAGAAAAGGGGCCTTTGGGACAGGTTCAGGCGGTTAGCTCAGGATGAGTTGCCGCTGCCCATTGCTCCCTGATAGCAAGCCTGGTGGGGTCCTTTAGAATTTAGGGATGCATGCCTGTCTGGGAAGAAGAGGGGGAAGAAGAATAGACACTGAATCGTTTGTCTTGAGGCTTTTATCTCTCTCTCTTGCAGGAAGGAATCTTCCGGGAGGTGTCAGGGAACAGTTTCAGCAGAATATTCATCAGTTTTCCAGGTATGTTCTTTCAGGAGTTCTTTTGTTATTGCAGCTGGTCCAGGCATTGCCCACGTGGTTTTGCAGCTTTTCTGGGCTTTGACTGAGATACAACTGAGGCCTAAATGTTATCTCTAGGGAGGTGACCTTCTGTGTCTGCTGTAAATTGCTGGGCCAGTTTGTTCAGCTCTCTGTTTCGGTTTCCCTGTTCCACTTGTCCTGGCTTACTAGCCTGTCTCAGTTTCAGTTACTGGGATGTGGGGGAGGAGAGTGGTAAGCATTTCTTTTCTTTAATTGAGATATAAATTCACATAAGGTAAAATTCACTCTTTAGGGTTTGAAATTGAAGGACACTTGTGATGGCAATGAGGGCCCATTTGTGTGAACCAGATATTCTCCATCTCAAAACCTATAACTTAATTATATCTGCAGAGATCCTTTTTCCAAATTAGGAAGCATGTACATGCTTCAGGGAATAGGACCTGTTACTTTGTGTGTTTTTATTCAACCTACTATGGCTCCTTGTTCCTTTTTTCTCCCATCCCATGAGAACTACTGGTTTATTTCTGTCTGTGAGGATTTGCCTTTTCTAGATGTTTTATGTAAGTGGAACCATAGACTATGTGGACTTCTGCGTCTGGCTTTATTCACTTATCATGTTTACAAGGTTCATTCATATCATACATGTGCCGTGGTGCTTTATTAGTTTTTATGGCTGAATAATATTCCATTGTATTACCATAGTTTGTGTATCCATCCATCAATTAATGAACATTTGGATTGTTTGCACTTTGTGGCTACCATGAATAATGATGCTGAACATTGTTGTGCAAGGTTTTGTGTAGATTTATGTTTTCAGTTTGTTGCTGCATATATCTAGGAGTGAAATCGCTGGATCGTATGGTAACTCTGTATTTAATTGTTGAGATACTGCCAACTGTTTTCCAAAGTGGCTGCACCATTTTACAGCAGTTGCACCAGCAGTAAATGAGGATTCCAAATTCTCCCCATCTTCTGAAACACTTGTTATTGTCCCTCTTTTTGATTATAGCCAATAGTGGGTATGAAGTAGTATCTGATTGTGATTTGATTTATGTTTCCCTAATGACTAATCGTGTTGAGCAGTAATTCTTGTGCTTATTGGCTATGTATGTATCTTCTTTGGAGAAATGTCTGTTTATATCCTTTGCCCATTTTTTTAATGAATTTTTTTATTGTGCTAAAAAGCCCATAACATAAAATTTACCATCTTAACCATTTTTAAGTGTTAAGTATATTCACAGCATTTTGAAACAGATCTCTGGAACTTTTTCATGTTGCAAAATTGAAACTCTACTCATTAAACAACAAACCCCCTTTTCCCTCTCTCCCTGGATCCTGGTATCCATCTACTATTCAACTTTTTGTTTCTTTTCTGTTGCTTTGACTACTTTAGATACTTCATATATGTGAAATCATACAGTATTTGTCTTTTTTGTGGCTGGCTTATTTCATTTACCACATGTCCTCAAGGTTCATGCATGTTGCAGCATGTGACAGAATTTCCCTTTTATGGCTGAAAAATATTCCATTGTATGTATATATCACATTTTAAAAAATGATTCTTCAGTTGATGGACATTTGGGTGGCTTCCACCTCTTGGTCATTGTGAATAGTGCTGCTGTGAACATGGACATACAAATAACTCTTGAAATCCTGCTTTCATTTATTTTGGGTATATATCTAGACGTGGGATTGATGGATCATATGGTAGTTCTATTTTTAAATCTTTGAGGAACTTCTGTACTGATTTCCATAGCAGTTATACCATTTTACAGTCCAACTTTAGTGGAAAAGGATTCCAATTTCTTCATGTTCTTGCCAACAGTTGTTATTTTCTATTTATTTTTATAGCAGCCATCCTAATGAATGTGAGGTGATACAGTATCATAGTTTATTTTTTACTTTGTCATTTATTCTTTTGGTGTCTTGTTTAAGAAACTATTTACTACTTTTTTTAAAAAAAGAGTTATATAGTTTTAGCTCTACACTTAGTTCTACGATCACTTTAAGTTACTTTTTGTATATATGGTGTGTGGCAGGGGTCCAGTCTGAATTCTATTCCATTGATCTGTGTTTTTTATTTTTTTAAAATCCTCACCCAAGCATATGTGCTTCTGTTTTTTTAAATTGATTTTAGAGAGAGAGAGAGAAAAAAAAACACACATCTATCGGTTGCCTTCTGAACGTGCCCTGTCTGGGGAGCAAACCTGCAACCTGGATATGTGCCCTGACCAGCAATCGAACTCACTATCTTTTGATGTATGGGGTGATGCTCCAGCCAAGTGAGCCACTTCACCAGGACAGTATTTTATTCCTTTTAATGCTGTTATAAATGTAATTTCATTTTCAGAGTCCTAGTGTATAGAAATAGAAATGATTTTTTTATATTAATCTTATTTTCTGCAACTTGGATGAACTTACTGATTCTAATGCTTGAATGTGTGAATTCCTCAGGATTTTCTATATACAAAATCATGTCATCTCCAATGTCCAATTTAGTTTTGCCTCTTCTTTTCTAATCCGAGTGCTCTTTTACTTGCCTGATTACCCTGGTTATAGAATATTCAATATAATGTTGAATCAAAGTGGTGAAAGTGGACAGTCTTATCTTTTTCTGGTATTAGAGGGAAAGCTTTCAGCTTTTTACCATTAAGTATGATGCTAGCTGTGGGTCTTTTACAGACACCCTCTGTCTGAATTGGAAAATCCCCTTCTGTTCCTAACTGTTGAGTGTTTTCCTTCCCATCATGGGGAAGATTTTGTCAAATGCTTTTTCTGCAGTCATATGTGGCTTTTCTTTTGTCCTTTATTCTATTAAAATGATGTAATATTGGTAGATTTTCGTATAATGAACCAACTTCGCATTACCTTATGTAAATCCCACTTGGTTGTAGTGTATGATCCTTTTTATATGTTGTTAGAAATTGTTTGCTAGTATTTTGTTGAGAATTTTTGCCTGTGTGTTATAAGTGATCCTGACTTTGTCTGGCTTTTTATTACTTTTTGCATTTTCAGGGTCTGTCTAGGCCATAGCATATATCAATATTTCATTACTTTTATGACTGAATAATATTATTCCATTGTATGTATATACCACAGTTTGTTTTATCCATTCATCTATGATCGACATTTGTGTTTACACCTTTCCACCTTCTGAATAGTGCTGCTATCAAACATGCATGCACATTACATGTACTTACTCGAATGTTTTCAATTATTTTGGGTATATACCTAGAAGTAGTCTTTTGTAGTCATATGATCTTTCTATGCTTGACTTCTTAAGGAATTGCCAAACTGTTTTCCACAAAAATCCTCTGATTTTTGCAAGTACTTGGTTAATTTCCAGGATCTAAAAAAACTTGATTTCGTAAAGTTTGCTTTTAGGAAGGAGTGGATTTTTATACTTCCTTATCTTGCCATTCCCCTCTGAACTCACCTTGTTGCTGGCATTTAACAAATTGACATTGGTATGTTTTCTTTAGTTGTCTTTTTTTGTGGTTCTCCATAGCCCCTCTTTAAATTGATCACCACTCACATGATAACTTCTATACCCTTTCCAAACAGTCTTAGTGAAAGAACTTGCCTCTGATCTAAGAGGCCACTTTTAGGTTGAACTGTCACTCTGCTCATATCTCCTTTGTGTGATATCTTCTAAGATGCTATTCTTGAGAGGAAAGGAAGGAAAGGGAAAACAGCTGAATTTCTCCCCTGCCTGGGAGAAGATCCCATGTAGGACTAACCATACTACTTTGAAAAAGTCTTTCCCAAACTCTTGGTCCCAATGATGAAATCTGGCCCCAGCCATCATTCTCCTGACTCCCAAAATAGCAGGGCTCTGACTTTGCTATACTAGTATACTTCAGTGGCTCCCAGACTTGAAAATTGGCTGTTTCTCAGGTTTCATCATTTCCTACCCATTTCTTCAACCCACCTTTCTTTGTTGAATTTATTTATAATTCTAGATAACTGTGGTTTTTTAAAATGACTACTTGAGTGCTTATTGTGTGCCAGGACTGTTCTAGGCACTAGGGAGAAATCAGTGGACAAAACTGACAAAAATAACAAAACAAACGAAAAAACAAAACAACTTCTCCAATGGAAGGGTCCAGTGGAAGAAGAAGCATAGTAAATACAATAAATATGTACATTCTCTGGTGAAATAACAGGTGATGTTATGAAATTAGGAAAATTATAATAGAGCTGTGTCATGGGGTTGAATGGTTGCTAGATAGGAGTGTTGTAATTTTAGATAGATGGTCAGAGTAAGTTTCATGGAGAGGTAAGTTCGGACGTGGGCTTGAAGGAGATAGAAATGTTACCCATGAGGATATCTGGGAGACAAAGAGTTTCAGGCAGAAAACCTGAATGGAATGTTTAAGAAGCAGCAAGGAAGCCGCTGTGGCTGAATTAGAGTGAATGATGTTAGAATAGTGGGGAGAAGAGGTCAGAGAGGTACCAAGAATGGAAATGGTGGTGAGGGCCTATAAATCTTTGATGCTTCTCTAGTACATTAGTACATTCTTTAGAAATAGTCATGTCTTCTGACAAAGAACAACCTTGGTTTAGTAGTAGTTTTCATCCTAGACTCCCAAGTTTGCTTAGGCCCTATTTGTGTATTTCCCTACCATCCTGAGCTGATTTATGAAAAAGAAAACAAAAGTAAAAAAAAATTATGAAAAAATTATCTTTGTTTTACTTAGTTACCCTAGGATGGAATGCAAATGTTTACTGCAGTTTTAAGGATCCTGTGAAGCTCCCATTTCCCCAAGGATCTGTGTTTAATTGGCATTAAATTCTAAGGCAGCAAATGTGTGGGGGTTAATGGAGGAAGGGAGAAGGACAGTGGTAGGGAAGGGACAAAGATGCTGTGGGTGGGGAGAAAGTGAGGGAGGTGGAACAGGAACTTGGAGGAGCAGCACTGGGGTGAAAAGAGTCAGCCGCAAGGGAAGATGGTGAGGTTAGGCACCAGAGGAGTCCTGGTGGCCTAATCTTAGGAAGTTACTCAAGGACAGAAGCCTGAGAAAAGCTGGTGATAATAACAAAGACCCACTAAAAGGGCCATTGTTTAAATGCACTGCAATAACCTGGGAGGTGGGTCATCACCAGCTGACCTGTCAGTTGTCTTTGGAATGAAACCTTCACGTTGGCTCCTCCCACAGCCCTTGGCAATTTCCTTGGTGGGGTGGTGTGAAGTGATTTTTTAGGACTGACCCCTTAGATCTAGTAGGTCTGTCTTTACAGTTCTAGCCTTTTAACCCCAATATCTCAAGATTCTGATAAATTGTAGAAAATAAGGACACTAGAGAAGTGGTAAGAAAATTCCCATGTTCTAATGTCATGCTTGATTTAAATGAACTCATTAATTTATTTGCTTTATGTCTGGTTCTTTTTCTACTCTTAACTTTGCATCTTGAATTATTGCATGGATGGAAGGGGAATCACTATGGAAAATAGCTAGAAATCCAACCAAATTGAGTTGAATCCAAATGCAGCAATCTTACTAGAACTTGTTTATTTCAATTTTTTCTTTTTTTTAACGGCAGGAATTTGTCATAATTTGGGAGGCTGGGAAGTCCAAGATCAAGGTATCGGCTGATTTAGTTCCCCAGCTAGTGCTCTCTTCCTGGTTTGAAGACAGCAGTCTCTTCCCCGTGTCTTCATTGGGGGTGGGCTGAGAGGAAGCAAGCTCTCCAATCTCTTCTTCTAAGGACACTAATCCCATCATAAGAGCCCCACCCTCATGGCCTCATCTAAATCTGATTACCTCTCAAAGACCCCATCTCTAATGCCCTTATGTTGGGGTTTAGGGCTTCAACACATGGATTTTTTTGGGAGGGGGATTCAGTTCAGTCCATAGCAAAACCTAAAATACATTGCCAAGAGTGGGAGGAATCATTTAACATTTAGGAATAAAGGAGTGATATAATTACAGTGGTATTTTAAGATTCAGATAGTGGTGATTTCCTGTTTAATTTGAAGGATAGACAGATAAGACAGAACAATTTGGAGCGTATTACAGATGTACAAACATGAAGTAACTGGTGGACCTAAACCTAGAATTTGAGGGGAGGAGCTTTAATAGGAATGGAAGTGATATGTAGTTAGAATGACCAGTGCTCTAAAAAGTTAGTTAGAATCACTATTAAGTTTCTGTGATTAATTTGATGGGAGCTGGGGGAGGTTAGAACAGGTTTTATAAAGTAGAAGGAGAGTAAAAATGAATCCAATGAGGTTCTTTGATCCTTGGAGACTAAGCAATTAATAGCAGCATCGTCAGAAAATAGACATTAATTAAGTTAGAGTTCTCTTGGAATGAACACAGAATTCAGGAATCACACNCAGAAAATAGACATTAATTAAGTTAGAGTTCTCTTGGAATGAACACAGAACCAGAATTCAGGAATCACACATTATAGTGCTAACTCTATTTCCAAATCCTACATATAACTTTAGGTGAATCATAAACTTCTAGGCTTTAGAAGTCTATCCTTAGATAATTCTGATGGTCATATTACTTGTCAAATTATTTTCTGAGTTTTATGGTGTTAGGAAGAATGTTAATACTTTTGATATATATATATATTTAGAGAGGATATTAAAGTATAAATGTAGAATCACCTAGAAGGAAGTTACTAGGAATGTACAAGTGATCCTGTGAAGAGGGTTAGATTAAGGAAGAAGTCCCACAGAACCTTTCTGATTGCCACAACCAGGGGATTGGTACTGGCATTAGCAGGTAGAAGCCAGGGATGCTGCTGAATGTCCTATATGGACTCGATATTCCCCCACAACAAAGAATTATCTGGTCCAAATGGTCAATAGTACTTAGATTGAGAAACACTGAACTATGTGGCATCATTCTTGACTTAAATGACTGAAGTTGTATATAGACAGACAAACCCATTTTTGTTGACTCCAAAGAGCAATGTTTTCAAATCTGCATCATGTTTTCTTGCATTACATATCCTAATTATCTACTTGATCTTAGTTTTAAAGCTATAAATCACTATTTATGACACATTAGACTGTAAGCTTCATACATTTACCACTTTTTTTCTTTATGCATTAAGTACTGTCAGTGCTTGCTAGTGTCAGATCAGTGTTGGGCAGGCAAAATATAGTTGTGGAATAGTGAGGGAAAGAATAATTTTTATTATGCTTAATATTATATATCTTTTAAAAATCTATTCCAAGTTGGTGCACACATTTGCAGGATTAGATATCTGTATGTTCCAAAATTATATAATTAAATTAATGAGAGGTGCATGGCACATATTAGATGCAGTTTAATCTTTATAGATTGGATTATGCTGGTTTGAAGATATCCACATTGGGCTATAATGAATTCTGACATTGTTTTCAGAAGTTGGTGAATTATGAACTGTGGTTTAAAGTGCCTACATTTGTTAGCCTAAAACCAGTGTTTTTCAAACTATTGATAGTGTTACCCATTGATGAATCATAATTGAATTTATGGGTCATGGTCAATTTAGGAAAAATGAAATAGAAAATATTAGAATAAGCATCCCATGTAGTAAAGGCAATTATTATTTATATGTGTTTATGTAGTGGTTCACCATATAATGGGTTTTGTTTCTACTATAGATTGTAGTAAAAAATGTTTGTAATAAGCTAACAGCTTTAAATCTTTTATTGACCTATAGAGTTTCTGATGTGGACAAGGTTCTCAGAGTAAATTCATAGAAAACATCAAATTAATGGAGCACAATCTGCTCTACAAATCAAGGGTCTTAATAAATACTACTTATAATTCATTTAACAAATTATGTATTTGTTGAGCTCCTGTGCTGAGGATATAGCAGTCAACAAAGAGAATCTGTGCCCTTTGAAGTTTATATTTTATTGGATAGACAATAGAAATAATCAAGATAAATAAACAAAGTTTATAATACCTTAGGTGGTAATAAGGGATTAAAGGTGAAAGAAGGGAAGAGATATCAGGACTTAGAAGTTGGTTGGAGTGTTTGAGAACCTCTCTCAGAAGACTTGGCACAGAGCCCTGAATGTGTTGAGGAGCCAGCCATGCAGATATATGGATGGTGAGCATTCATATTAGAGGAACAGCACATACGGAGGCCCTAAGCAAGGTAAAGCATTTAGTGTGTTCAAGAAGTAGCAAGGAGGTTAGTGTGGCTAGAGTGTAGTGGATATGAGGAGGGTGAGATAATTGGATGGAGTGTGATATGCATGGTTGGAAGCATGATGTTATAGGCATTGGATGGATTTGGCCCTTCACTGGGTTAACCAGAAAGCCATTAGAGAGTTTTGAGCTGAGCAGTGATATAATCTGATTTGTTTTAAGAGAATCACTTTGCCTACCATATGGAGAAGACATTGAGGTAGGGTGCAGAAGGGAGAAAGCACTGTTGGATTTAACTTCAGTGGACAAGTTAGGACTGGAGGGAGAAATTTAGGAGATACCAGTGAATGGATTATAATTAAGGCCTTGAGTTGGGATGAAATTATCAAGAGAGTTCATTCCCAGTTTGTTAGGTGTGTGCTAAGTATTTGACATTGAGTTATACTGTGGGTTAACTATCTGTAGGTACTCTTAGCCTATTCTTTGAATTTCACACTTTTGTATATTAATATTTATGAAATTAGTATGTATGAATCCAATGAGAATGTGCATTTAATGTAGATTTTCCTCAATTCTTCTACAAAACAAACTGCCATTGAATAGTTGGTGCTTTTTGAAAAGAGCTGTTACCTTAACTCTAAGAAATAAGAATTTTTGCCTTTAAGATACAAAAACACATTTAAAAGTTATAAACTTGCCAAAGAAGATGCAGTTGCTGTGTGGCTGACTTAGAATTCCAGCTTAATCTTCTCTGATTCCAAAGCCTGTGTTTCTAAACACTATGTAATGATACCTTTGTAAAAAGTACTTGTCCTTTACCTATGATTTCACTTAGTGATTAGTTGTTGGAGGGTGTTTCTTCTTTAATAGAAGAGGTCATAATCAGCATAGGACAGAGCTTAATGCTAGAGTCACACTGACCTGTAATCATAGTTTTGTTTTGTTTTTTTAATTTGTTTTTTTAATCCTCACCCGAGGATATTTTTTTCTATTGCTTTTCAGAGAGTAGAAGGGATGGGGGGGGGCGGGGGAGAGCAAAGTGAGAGACACATCNTTTTGTTTTTTTAATTTGTTTTTTTAATCCTCACCCGAGGATATTTTTTTCTATTGCTTTTCAGAGAGTAGAAGGGATGGGGGGGGGCGGGGGAGAGCAAAGTGAGAGACACATCGATTGGTTGCCTCATGCTCACCAGGGCCAGGGAGGGACTGAACCTGCAACCGAGGTACATGCCCTTGGCCGGAATCGAACTTGGGATCCTTCAGTCCGCTGGCCGATGCTCTAACCACTGAGCCAGACAGGCCAGGGCTGTAATCATAGTTTTAATCTGTCATTTATTCTCTTTGAGTCTTAGTGTCCTTATCTGTGAAATAAGGATGTTTATAACTATTAGAGGTTTGGAGAGAATTAAATGAGAGAACACATTTTTTTACGTACTTACTGATGTGTAGTGTTGTTTGTACTCAGGTGGCAGTTTATATAAAGGAAGCACTGGGACTTGTGGCCACACCTTTCAAGAATTAAAAAAATTAGAAAATGGAACCATCATGTATGTTATGTGAGGAAGAACAAGAGCCGGAGCCACAGAAGAGCATAGAAGGAAGCAAACAAGTAGAGGAAGATGCTGAGCTGATCTTTGTTGGGGTGGAACATGTAAATGAAGACGCCGAGCTGATCTTTGTTGGGGTGACTTCACATTCAAAACCAGTCGTTTCAAACATTTTGAACAGAGTCACCCCGGGTTCATGTTCAAGGAGAAAAAAGTATGGTCACCTCAGAAAAGATACTGATCACAAATTGCCTGTACATCATGCGACCTCTCCATCAGAAGCAGTGACTGTCTTGCCAGTTCCTGAGTCTGAATCAAGATTAACAGATAGTCCTATTATTATTATTGAGCCTTTGTCTAAGCCTGATTATAAAAGTAATTCACCACAAGTTGTGCCTAATAGCTCTTCAGAGTTATGCTCTCCTTTGATTACATTCACAAGTTCATTGCGGCATCCAGTGGGAACAGCGCTTTCTATAGGAGGTCTGAATAAAAGTCCTTGTGCATCAAAGCGACTTTGCACTTCTGAAATAAACAGCATAAATCCCAAAAATCCTAAACTCAGTGATGAAATCACAGGGGGACATTCTTCAGTTTTGTCTTCTTCGGGGATCTTTCATACAGTGACTCCTCAGCAAAGCACACCCTCAAATGGTGTTCATACCTCATTAAGCCCTATTCAGAATGGAGCACCCTTTCCAATAGCGTTTCCAAAGGACAGTGTCCAGTTCAAGACTATAAATCCTGCTGGGGAAAATAGACTGACAAAAACAGATTTTTCGAGCCTGGTAAATCAAAACAAGACTGTCGATACCAAGAAAGGAAACCTGATCATGTTACTTCATGACTTTTACTACGGACAGCATCAAGGAGATGGGCAGCCAGAACAGAAGACTCACACAGCCTTTAAATGCTTCAGCTGCTTGAAAGTTCTAAAAAATGTCAAGTTTATGAATCACGTGACGCACCACTTGGAACTTGAGAAGCAGAGGGATGACAACTGGAAAAACCACACCACCTGCCAGCACTGCCACCGGCAGTTTCTCACTCCCTTCCAGATGCAGCATCACATTGAAAGTGTGCACACTGCCCAGGAGCCCTCTGCTGTCTGTAAAATTTGTGAATTGTCATTTGAAACGGATCAGGTTCTCTTACAGCATATGAAGGACAACCATAAGCCTGGAGAAATGCCCTATGTGTGCCAGGTTTGCAATTACAGATCATCGGCCTTTGCTGACGTGGAAACACATTTCAGAACATGCCATGAAAACACTAAGAATTTGCTTTGTCCGTTTTGTCTCAAAATTTTCAAAGCGGCAACACCCTACATGTATCATTACAGAGGACACTGGGAAAAGAGTATTCACCAGTGTTCCAAATGCCGACTGCAGTTTCTAACTTTCAAGGAGAAAATGGAGCACAAGACCCGGTGCCATCAAATGTTTAAGAAGCCTGAGCAACTAGAAGGATTGCCTCCTGAAACCAAAGTTGTTATTCAAGTATCACTGGGACCTCTTCAAGCAGGGTCAGTGGAAGTAGCATCCATTACTGTAAGCACATCTGATTCTGAACCATCACCCCCCCAGGCCTAAAAGTAGAATAAAAAAAACCAAAAAAGCGTTCATCCCATTTTCAGGAAATTTAAAGCAAGTATTTTAATCAAAGTGAAAAACCTCATAAATAAAAAAATACAAACCATACATTAATAGGTTTGAAAATAGTGAAACCAATGGACTATTTATGAGGTTTTTAAAAAAATTCATGAAATACAGTATTGTTTGATATGAATTTTGAGATGTTATTTAAAAATGTGTTACCTGGTTTTTATGTGACTGTATCTGGCTTAACACATAAAAGGTGCTTGTGTGTGTATATGTATGTGAAAGAAAAAAAAGGTCAGAAACCTATTTATTATTTTTCTATTTCATGTTACTTGTGAGTGTGAAAGCTCTTTTTTCTGTATATAGAATCTGTAGAGTTTTTAAAGTAATTTTATTTTTTACTTTTTCCATGCCTTGAAGATTATTATATTAACTCTAGTCAAACTGGAACGGCTTTGTTATGGCAAGGTCCTATTTACTGCTGAACTCCCAAAAGTGCCTCTGTCGTGCGGCCTAAAATAACCTGGCTCTGAAAGCCTGGGTCGGGAGAAGTTGAGGGAGAAGCTGTGGCATGAATGGGACCAGAAAGTGGGAGATTAGTCAATGGAGAGCAGTGGCTCTTTTTCCCAGTCTATAGAGAGGCACACATTTACTTGTCTTGAAGCAGACAGGCAGAAGGAATACCGTGTCAGTGTCTTTACCCAGCCCAAGTACATCCAAGAAAGCAGAACCATTACAATAAAATGCCTATGTTTGGTGAGGGGTTCCTGCAGCCATCAGCCAACCACTGTATCATTGGCTTCAGCTGGAGAAGCAGAGGTAGTTAATAGAACGGGGCCTGGTGCCAGTGAACCTCTTGTTGAGTGTTCCACAGGGAATTCCATTTGTTCCTTCCCCTCTCCTTTCTGGCTGGCCTTTGGTCAGAATGAGCTATGTCCCCCACAGCCACAGCAGTGAACAGGTAGAAGTTTCCCAAGGCAAAGAAGCCCTCACATCCATAGTTTGAACTGTACTGGACTCATAGTTTTAACTGAAAAGGGCCAAACTGTATCTGCCCAGTTTGTGGACTGAGCTCAGATTTGAATGGCGGTTGTCCAGGAACAGTAGGTAAATGGATAAAAATAGCCCAGGGTGACTTGCTAAAATTAAGCTTTTTACAGGGCTTTTCCTTATATTTTTCTGTGTTCATGTATCTTATCCTAATTGAACATGTGAAGTTCGTAATTTTTTATCTTTTCTTGTTGGACATGAATGTATTACAGTTAACAGTTACTATTCTCTTGGGTGTATAATTTCCCATTTTATGATATTAATACTTTTTGCGTCTTACTTGACACATTCCAATGTGCAAGAAATGTCCCTTTTATTTCAATAAATATTAGGTAGTAGAGTTACTGCTCTTCATCTGATCTATCCACCTATCTAATATATGAATATACTTTGAGGAGAGCTTCTTCCTTTCCCATTTCCAAGGGTTCTTTCATAGAACTGTGGAGTGCCCGCTCAGTACTGATTTCTGAACATCGGCGGCCTTGGCTGCTTCTGTGGGTTCCCAGGGTTGAGTCTCCCCTCAGTATGTTCAAGTGCCATCCTTTCTTCTATCCCTGACCCAGGTACCTAGCAGCCTCTGTGCACCACTCAAGGAATCCGGGATCCTGGCTATGGATCTAAGCCAGGGGAAACCTTTTTCCCCTGCTTCCTCCTCTTCAAAGGCACCTTATCTCTCCCCACTCCTTTCTTTCTTCCTTAATCTATTTAAATTCTTTACACTTTCACAAAAAGCTGGGAAGTTATAATCATCAAGGATTTAGCATCCCCCTTAGAGTTGAGGAGGAAGGACTAGACAACAAAGTAGCTGTGAGTGTATTGTCTAGGTTTTAGATAATATCCTCTGTGTGGATTCTGTTGTATTTGCTCAATGCTTGACTAATTCATTGATGGATTTGCACTTTGAACATTTTACTAGGCCCTTTCAGTTAGTTAGCTTGGGCCAAGGCACTTTGCTTAAAATTTTAGCCTGAACCCCTTTCTTTAGGGGTAGAAAAATTGTGTGTGTGTGTGTGTGTGTGTGTGTATGTGTTCCACTTGTTCTGGTGTTAGGCGGAAACTTCTGTGCATAACTAGATTTTCAGACTTTGCTACTTATTTCCCTTATTCTGTTTCGATGGTAAAAATATGAAATTTGTTTGTTCTATGTGTTTGTGGTTGCTTAGTTTTATCAACTGTTACTGTTGTTTGCTATTTCACTAAAATATACCCCCAAGGAATACAAATTGTTATTTATTGCCAAGGTTTCAGTGATATGACCCCTGCCTACCTCCTCTCTTTTTCATTCTGTACCATGCTACTCTACCATTTTCCCCAATGATGCACTGTTTTTGACACACTGGCCTTGGTTTTCCTCAAGCAAATCACATTTCTTCCCAGTCCAAAGACTTTGCAACTGCTATTCTTTGTCTTCGAATGTTCTTTCCTTAGACCTGCATGGCTTGCTACCTCAGTTAATTAATCGTTGGACATTTCCTTTGATTCATTAACCTTCATCAATGTTCTTAAAATGACAGTGCCAATGAAATTTGACTCCCACCCCTTTTCTTCTCCTAAAGACACTTTATGTCTCCTCTCTCCTTTTCCCCCTCTCTAATCTAGTTAAATATCCTAGGTTTTCATGAAAAGCTGGGAAGGGATAATTATTAAGGGCTTTGCTTCTCTCTTAGAATTGAGCTAGCTCAAGTCCACTTTTGTGCCTGCAACCAAAAGAAAATTAATAGAGCGAGCTGAGTTCCTTCAGGAGCTTTCTCTGTTTTTCTATTGATATCTCTCTATTTTTTAAAGCAATGTCACTTTGTTTTGTTTACAAATATACTGAATAGCTGTCAAGATTACTATTTTGTTATTACCCTCTGTGAATTTCCGTGTCTATTTGGCTTGCTCGTTCTTTCAGATAAATTTTATTTTATTATTGTTGCCAAAAATTGTAAGTAAAATAGTAATTATAGTAATAAAATGTTATTTTGGAAAAAAAATATTTTTGTTATTTGTCTTTTTATCAATAACATGGCATATTTTTAGTTTAGTTTAAATATATATATATATATATTTTTTAGCACACTATGTAAACTCTTGGCCTTTCCTCCAATTGTGTTTATTTCTAATCTGACTGCGTTGGCCAGAACTTCAAAACAATGTGAAAATGGGCCCCCTTGTTCTTGGTTTCAATGAAAAATGCTTCACCACTGAAGGTAATGAATATACTGCTTAATGAATGTCTCTCTTTAGAATGTTTAAAGAGAATTGTTATTCAGTTGTACTGGATAGTTTCCCACATCTATTGAGATAATCATTTACTTTTTCATTACTGACCTAAGGTTTTGCTTGGCTGGATTCACAACTTTTCTATTAGAAACCTGCCTTTCTTGAAACAAAAATAGTTCTTCTGGGGGTTGAATATTACCCTCTTCTCAGAATATTCCTTCCCTTCCTCATTTCTAATATTGAAATGCATCCCCTCCTCCCATTATATTTGCCACAGTTTGTTATCAGTTTCTGATTTACTTTTTCCACGAAGAAACTCTTGATTTATTATCCTAAGTAATTTTGTTTTTGTTCTCTATTTTTGTCTCATTATATACCTACTTTTCCCTCCCTTTAAAAAAAAATTATTTATTGATTTGAGAGAGAGAGAGGGAGGGAGAGAGGAAGGGAGAAAAGGAGAGAAAAAACCCATCGATTTGTTGTTCTGCTTACTCAAGCATCCCCTGGTTGGTTCTTGTATGTACCCTAACCGGAGATCGAACTTGCAACCTTGGCATATTGGGATGATGCTCTAACCAACTGAGCTACCCAGCCAGGGCTATTATACACCTACTTTTTAAGGATTGTTCTTTTTAATGGCCTTTTATTTTAAAAGGTATTTTTTTCTGCATTAAAGCATTTAGGACTTCCTGGCTTTGTTTATAGCTTTGTCTGAATCCCAAATATTTTGATGCGTATTTTCATTTTTATTAAAGTTTTAATTCTTACTTTTTTTGGTAAGTTAATTCCAAGATTTAAAAATTTGTGGACTGGCTGTTTTAAACTTAATGTGTAGTTTTACTGAGAATTAAGTTTTCCTTGGAGTTTTGAGGGTGTGTGTTTATTATTTGCATACACATTTTTGTTTTTATCTTAAAAGTATGAAATGTTTTAATCTAAAAATCTATCCCTCAAAATGAATATAGTATAAAAGGTAAAGGTACAAAAATATTCATTTGAGGATAATTCCCAGTAACAAAATTTGGAAATGTTAAAGAAAAATGATTCTTGACACTGTTAAAGATGGTAAAGAAAACTTTATTCAAGGGGGGACTACTACAATGGGGTTTTGTAATACAGGAAAGAGATTGAGCTTAACTCTGACTTCATCAAGGGCAAAGTGGGGATTTATTGCTAAGGAACAGGATGGGTGTCAGTGAATAGGAAATTACTAAGAGGAAACATCAGGGGTAAGGTAGATTCTGGCTAAACCATCTTAACAGGATTATTGCTGAAGGATAGGGGATAGGAATTTGATCAGATATCAAAGGTGGTGATTTTCCTTAAACTGACCCAACAGGAATCTTGCTAAAACTGGACTAAACAGGAAGAGCCACTGGATTAAAGACAGAGCTCAAAGTTGGGAGTTTATTTGTCATCTATTGATGTATAACAATTACCAGAGAACTAACAGCTTTAAAAAACCATTTATTACCTCACACTATTTCTGAGAGCTGGGAACTCAGGAGCACCTTAGCTGGGTTATTCTGCTTCAGGGTTCACGGGGTTGTAGTCACCTGAAGGCTTGACTAGTGCTGGAGGATTTGCTTCTAAGATGGCTCACTCACATAGCTAATGAGAGGAAACCCTGGTTCCTTTCTGGCTGCCTCAGTTCCTCCACGTGAGCCTCTCCAGTGGGCTGCCCAAGTGTTCGCAAGACATGACCAGCTGCCTTCTAGAGCAAATGATCCGAGAGAGTGAGCAAGGAGTCTGCAATGCCTTTACGACCTAGTCTCAGAAGTTTTACTCTGTCATTTCTACAATATTCTGTTCATTAGAAGGGAAACACTAAGTTCAGCCCACATATTAAGGGGAAGGTAATTTCGTTTCACCCTTTAAAGTGACTCAATTAATTAGGTTCATTTTCTACTTTCTGTTAATTAGGTACATATTCTAGTTTTCATATCACTATAGGTGATGCTTTTACTCCATTTTTTGCCACTATATAACTCCTTTCTCAATATTCTAATAACATGCTCCTTACTTCCTTTTAAGCCATACTAGAACTGTCTTGAAGTTCAGTTTTTTGGTTTGTTTTCACTAAGGCTTGTACTAACTCTCCTCAAAGTCCTTCCAGTTTTTGTGCACTGCCCAGTTCCAAAACCACTTCCATATTTTAGATACAGTATTTGTTACAGCAGCATTTTCTTTCCAGGTACAATAATCTGTATTAGTTATCTATTGCTGTATAAAACATTACCTCAAACTCATCAGTTTAAAACAACAAACATTTATTTATCTTGTGATTTTCAAGAGTCAGGAATTTGGAATTGGCTTAGCTCAGTGTTTCTGGTCTCCCTGCTTTCATGAGGTTGCAATTAAGATGTTGGCTGGAGCTACAATCATCTAAAGGCTTGACAGACTGGAGGATTAGTGCTATGGTCTGAATGTTTGTGTCCCCCCAAAATTCATGTTGAAATCCTAACCCCCAAGTGTGATATTAGTAGGTGGGGACTTTGGGAGGTGATTAGGTCATGATGGTGGAACCTTATGGGTGGGATTACTGCTCTCATAAAAGAGATCTCACAGAGCTCCCTTGCCCCTTTTCCATGTGAGGGTACAATGAGAAGTCTGTGACCTGGAAGAGGGCCTTCACCTGGTTATGCTGGCACTCTGACCTTGGACTTCCAGCCTCCTGAACTGTGAGCAATCCATTTCTGTTGTTTATAAGCTACCCAACCTGTAATATTGCATAAGAGCAGCTTGAGTGGACAAAGACAATCAACTTCTAAACTTGATTGGCTCTTGGAAGGAGGCCTCAGTTCCTTGTCACATGCTCCTCATGACATGTCATCTGGCTTTTTGCAGAGTGAGCGATCCCAGAGAGAGGAAGGAAAAAGCTGCAACCCAGCCTCAGAGATACAACACCATCACCTCTGTTGTATACTGTTGGTCACAGAGACCAACCTTGATATAATATAGAAGTGGACCACAGGAATACTGGGGGGCAGGGAATCACTGGGGACCGTCTGGGAGGCTATCATCGGGAGAATGGAACATTAGAAGTTTTATGACATTCCACAAAGAATTGAGACAAAATGTAGTTAATTAATGATCATGGTGTTACCTCCCCACTCTCTAGTTTGCCATGGCACTGACCAGTTTCAGGTGAGATTCTTTTAGAATTAAGTACATACACTTAAAAACTTTGAATATGTAATATATTCACATTGTTCAAACATCAAAAAGTATAACTCAGAATTTTTTTTAGCCTTCCAGATAATTTATCTTTTTTTTTTTTTAAACTGATTTATATTACATTTTTTGTTTACCTTTTTTGGTACAGTAATATGAAATAAAGCTAGCAAGATACAACTTTGTGTATACATTGTGATCTGGAGAAAATATATGGAGGAAAAAAGACTAAAATAGTAACTTTTATAGTAATCCAACTTTTTAACTATTTTGGTCTTTTACAGATTAGGAAAAAAAAAACTTAAAAAAAAACACTTCCAGATTTTATGCAGTGAACTTGCACTGTTTTGAAATCACTTATATAAAATGAGAAGCTTGTTTTCTTTGCTACTAGCAGTCAGCAAATACATCTTTGAGAGATGCTTTTTTTGAGGGGAAATACTATTTGATCATGAACTTTTCATCTAGTGCAGCATCTGTAACAGGATAGCAAGAAGCTGTGAAAATTCCAGGGCAGGAGGAACAGGGAAAGTGAGACAAGAAAGTTAAACAAGGGCCAAAAGTCTGGGCAGCCTGCAGCCAGTGTGCAGCAAGATCTTATCTTTCCCAGTCAAGGACACTTGAGAGCAAATGGTTAATGCTTCTCCTCTCTAACCAAAGGGTACAGGAGAGAAGGGGGAGTTTGTCTCACCCACTAAAAAAGAAGTCAGCTGTTTTGGGAAAGGGGGAGAGAAGGGCAAGTTTTAATCTCACTCCTTAAACAGAGAAGCCAGCAGTCTCAGGCTTGTCAAGATAAAATCACCAAATGCTTCTCATAAATTCTGGGAAAGCCATAAAAAAGTGAAAGGGAGACCTTGAGATCTAGCCCGTACCAAGATATCTGACAGAGGAACTTTAAAACCTGTAGCAGAAGGGTATAAAATGCTAAACCTCTACCAGGCAGCGCTCCTCAAATTATATTCGAGAGCCCGTCTGTGCTTTAAGCCAGATCTATTTTGATAGATTTGCTTGCTCTGCTTTTGTAATAAATTCGCTTTACTACAGCACTGCTGTCCAGAGTCACTCATCTGAAATCTTTCCTGCGAGACTGACAAGGACCGAGAAGGAGCCAGCCCTCTCCTTCCAATTCGGGACTCTGTCTGATAACACGTTTTCTGGTATTTTGGGTGCCTGTAACACTTCTATTGTTCCCCATGGGATTGACAAGATATTTGGGTTCTGTGTTTTTAGACCTATCTTCTCCCCAAATAGTCAATCATTTTATCCTCCTTCCCTGAACTTCTTTTCTCTCTGAGTAGCTAACATTTAGGTTGCTTTGAGAACTAAAATGTCTGTCCATTTGGTACCCAATTCAGGTGATCACATGTAGACCCAGGCAGGTTCATGCCTTCATTCCTCATCAGGGTCTCTCACTGTGATATGCCAGCAGTGGTACTCAGCCTGGTCCCTGGGCTGGGCCCCTGAGAAGGCGAGGGCAGCTTTGCCCCCAGGAGGGACCCAGAGAAGTGAGCTGGGTTCATGAGTGCCTGCTTTTGAGTGATAAATCAATGTCCTTGAAACTTGGTCAGGCTTCTTCT